GGTTCGCTGAGTGGCAAGAAGCTAAAGCAGACCAGGGTGTCATGCACACACTGCCTAGCCTTCGGTTTACCGTCTTCACGCGAATAGAACATGCGGTCATTAACCCTCTGTATTCGGACTAAAAATGGGCCCAAATACATAGAGTTATAATTGACCCATGCGGGTTCTATTTCAGGGCAAGACGATAGACCGTAGGTTACGCATGTTGCCGGTTCGAATTCCTTACGCAGCAGAAGAGGGAGAGTGCAGACCCATGGTAGTCCGCGTGCCAGTCTCTCTTTGTGTGCATATCCTTATATCAAACCAGGTTTCATATACGACATCAGCAACTGCCACGTGGCCTGTCACGTGGCCTGTCACGTGGCCTGCCACGAGGACTGCCACGTGGACTGCCCTGTAGACTGCCACGTGAATCATAAGTAATTTGCATGATGCGGGTTCGAACCCCTTACGCAGCAGAAGAGGGAGAGTGCAGACCCATGGCAGTCCACATGGCAGTCTCTCTTTGTGAGCATATCCTTATATCAAACCAGGTTTGATATACGACATTAGCGACTGCCACGTCGACTGTCACGTGGACTGCTGACATTCCCCGATAGATTGCCTGTGATGATGAATGCTGCTCTCAAGATCGCTCAGTATGCGACAATACTACGTTCTAGTAGTAACCAACTCGCCTACCTTCTTCCCCCGAATACAACGTACGGTCATTATAGCTGTATTTGAGGCATCTTTCAGTCTAGATACAGCTATAATGACCATACGTTGTATTCGGGGGAAGAAGGTAGCTCACCATGCACTCTTGAAATGTAGACCTGAGTTCGAGTCCCGACGGACTAGATGAATGAAATTCTTGGATTACCTGGGTTCAGTCAGTTCCACATTGATATCTCAAGCCCGTCGCCCTTTCCGAATAAAAAACTAAGTGCTACTACTACTACTACTACTACTACTACGGTACTACTACGGTAGTAGTAGTAGCGCTGCTAGCGCTGCTAGCACTGCTAGCACTACTACCTGTGGGGCTAAGTGGCGCTATTGTAAGAAATCTTAAGGGGGTACTGGTGTGACCGCATGAGGAAGAGGGGATAGCGATGGGGGGGATTCGACTCGAACGTGAGGAGATAACATGACTTGGATAAGGTTGGCAGGTAGAGGGGCCCACGTGGGTCATTTCAGGATTAGCAAGGGGTGTGAAAGAAAAAACAAACAAACAAACAAACAAAAAAACAAACAAGCCAAAAAAAAAAGACCTGCTGAAATGATAACCTTACGGTCAAGAAGAAATACAACCACGGGCAAGAGCACATGAGAACTCGAGCAAAAAAAAAAAAAAAAACAAAAAAAAAAAACCATCGGCAGAACCAGCGAAAATGGGCGAAACAAAAACCCTAGAATTCTGACAACACGCAAAAGGCCAATTGCTACGACGAACACGTCGCTCCAATTTCAGATTTCAATACAGCACACACGTGCTCCGCCATTCAGCACGTGCGTAGCGCATCCCCTACGCACACGCTTCAACCGGGCTGCGCTCCCGTACTCATTCAGGGGCCATTCAGCTCTATTCAGGGAAGTCGCAATAGGACAAAGTGTAAGACAAGAAACCAGCGAAGAAGAAGAAGAAGAAGAAGAAGAAACGAATTTAAAAAGACGAGATACTGCGGCCAATCTCTACGCATCCAAACACTAGACCAGTATAACATCCATAGCTCCTGCACAGAGTTCATGCTCATAACGCGCACATTCAAAGCCCCGCCCCGCCCCCTCTTCCCCCCCCCCTCCCCCAAGACACCCACACTAACCTCCTGATGAGTCGGTGAAAGTCCGACGAAAACGGTCTGGCACAGTCATGCTCTTCTTTGAGGAGTTGTGTACAGCGAATATGACCACAGACACACACCCACACACACACACAGACACACGCACACACCCCCCCCCCCACACACACATACACAAACACACACAAAAATTGACAAACAAACAAACAAACAAAAATTCCAACTAAACAGTTTG